AAACAGAGGGCGTCGAATGGCGAAGAAAGGATCAAATAACAATTATAAAAAAATATAAAAAAAATCGGGGAACAAGAGTCAAAGAAAAGGAAATAACGAAGAAGAAAACAATGGTTGAGACTTTTGTCTGGAATTGGAGAGAGAACCCGAGAGATGAGGGGGAGCGAGGAGAGATTTGTAGGGAGATCAGATCAGTCCTCTGTTTTGATGGGTACAAGGCAAAAGACAGAGAGGGAGAGATTTAAGAAATAGAAAATATTATTTAGTGGAGGAAACGTTTGGTTTAAGGGCAGTTTTTGCTTCTTTTTTTTTTTTTTTGATTTCAGTCTAACATCTAAATATGATATTAATATATATATATAAAGGAGTTTTTGTATTTCTAATTTAGGGCTATAAATAAACTCTATTCTAAATTTTTTTGCTTTCTTTCTCTTATTACGTTTTGAAAAATTCCCCAAGCATCTAAAATATAGGACCAACATGGGGAGCATGTGATGTGTTAATGATGGCCAGCTCATTATGCAATAGGAGGATGACACATCCCCTGTTCTTCCTGTTGGTCCCATATTTTGGATCACTGTAGCAAAACTCATAGTTATTTATCTGAAGAATTTGTAAGCAAATTGTAATTTAAGATACATTTATAAATTTCCTTTCATTGACATGGCATCCATGTACGTGCACAGGGTGGGTGCCGTCACCCACCCTACTTTTGGTTCTCTTCGTTATTTTACCTTTTGTCTCAAAAGTTAGAGCAGTTTTTTATTCCAAAGCTTAGCTTTTGTAACAACTTTGCTGATCTCGTCACCAAACTTAGAGGTTACCACCCACTCAGCATAAATGGCATTTAAAGAAGCTCAAACTGAACGCATCAGTTCCATTCATAAAAGAGAGATTCTTTTATTTCTCTACTAGTTGAATAAATGGTAGAAATGTTACTGCTTCTTCCCTGTTATAATAATAATATTCATGCACATTTACTTTATTAATTAACTGGCATGTACCGATTTACGACACGTGCTAAAATGTTCCTTCGAAGAAATTAGAGGTTTTTTGCTTATAGAACCAAAGTTATACTTCCATTGACCGAAAAACCCACCCAGTTCTATATGTTCTAATAAATCCAAGGTACAAAGTTCCTCTACCCTTAAACTCAACATATAGAACGCAAAGTTTATAACTGCACAATAGAATGTATAAATTTATTCTTTAGGATGCGTAGTTACAAATTATAGTTAATATAGCTACATACCATTGGATGTATGGCTGTGTGTTCTATATTTTGGGTTTGAAGGTAAGCAAACATTGTATCTTGGATTTATTTGAGCATATAGAACTGGGCGGGGTATTTTGGTTAATGGAAGCATAAGTTTGGGTTTATAAGAAAAAACTCCAAGAAATTATAATGTCTCTTATTCACGTGAAGTTAAAAAATCAATTTTCATGTTAATTTACAGGTGATCCTACGCAGAAGTCTCTAGACTGCAGATCAAAGTACAAGCTAGATAGAGATAACCATATACATAAAAATAATGATAGTGGTACATCCTCTATCACACTTCTAACCACGTCATCTCTTGCTACAGTGTGCGTGGCCCACTTGAGATTTTAATTTCCCTAGTCTCTATACATAATGTCGGTGACCTAGCTTAGACCAATTGCATCATTAAGGAAGCCTCAATAATTGACTAATCTTATTGGTTGTTAATTAAGATGATGACACTATCAAAATAAAATAAAAATTATTTTGGGTCAAACATTACGTCTCTTGAGTATTTCCTCACAGTAGGCCCCAAATGCAATTAGGGTATACTTAAGTCTTAATAAGGGAGGAATTGATTAGGTGAGAGAGGGTCCATCAAGATTATTAGAGATTATTAATTCATTGAGATTAAGTGCACACCGTTAATGTGTACTCTGTTTTTCTTTTTCCAACAAAAAAAAAATTGCTGTTCGTCTATTTAGTATATCAACGTCTAAACTATTTGGAAGGGATCATTGCTAATTGGAGTCTGGAGAACAAGAAAAAATGGAACTTATATTTAGAGTCCAATCGTAAATATTAAATAGTCGCATATAAATAAGGTTTTTCCCCTCAAAGAAACCATTTTAAAAACAGGTCAATGTATAAAAGTTATTTTTCATTTTTAGTTTATATGCAAACCATCTTTAAAGTGGATTTTGGTTCTAATCAACCACCTCTCACTGAAAAATTTTCACTAAAAATTCAATAACATCCTTAAAAAACTCACATTCAAGACATGTGACTCATTTTGTTAATGATTAGACTTAGTTAGAATACAAGTTACGTACTTTAAACATATATTTTTTTAAGCTTATATTTTGATTTTTAGTTGAATTTAACCAGGAAGTGATTGATTGGAAAAAAATCCACTTTCAAGCCGGTTTACGTATAAATTAAAATTCAAATGTGATATCTATATAATAACATTATTTTAAAGATTGTTTCTAGTTAAAAAAAAGCCTACAAATAATTTCATTGTGCTTTTGGGGGTTTTAGAGATTTGCGGTTGACTGAATTTTAATACTTCCTTAATTGAGTCTATACTTTTGGAGTTGGGGGTGCAGTACTTTTACTTGTTACTAACCTTTTGTTTATTAATAAAAATCAAGGCGCGGCTTTGAAGTTTGTGAGTCCATTTTTTTTAAGGGAAAAAAATTGTGTTTCAATAAACAATGGGCCCACCTCACCTGCAAGTCGCACGCTTCAAGGATGGAACTGGATCAAATCCTGCCTCTCCCATCATCGATCATCATCAAATTTAAGAGAGGATAGCAGCCAATTCAATGGGCCCACCTCAAACTTGGATCAAATTAAGTGGGTGTTTTAGAAGTAAAAAAACCTAAAATATATTTTCTTGTATTTCTTAAAAAAAATTATAGGAAATTTTTTAAGAAGTCAAAATATATAAATTTTCTTATTTTTTATACTTTACTCGTTTGGTTCAAAACAAGAAAATGGATCCATTACTTTATAGAACTAGCAAGTTTTTTTTTTTGGTTACATATGTCAAATTTATAAAAAAAGTATCAACTATCATATTTATCACTTTATAACGGCTAGTTTAACGGCTAGTTTTACATTCTCAAATCTTATAAAATCCTTCTATCCTCAACTATCCATGAACACAAAATTTTCATAATTGAAAAACATGAGTAAGGACTGAGGTCCGCGTTTTGCTGGCGAAACGCTCCATTGAGGGTCGCGTTTTGATGGAGCAACTCAGGCCTGAGGTCCACGTTTTGTTTGTGAAACGCTCCCTTGAGGGTCGTGTTTTGATTGTGAAACGCTCCTTTGAGGGTCGTGTTTCAATTGGATCACGCATGGCTCATATTTGGGCTCATTAACATGAGACTCGTGTTCTAAAGTCGAAATGTGAGGCTCGTGCTGAGGCTCACAAACACGGAGTTCGTGTTGGTTGAGGGATCAGCTTTCTCGGAGATGTGTTTGTCGTAGGGATCTCCTCCTTCGTCTAGCAATGTTTCTCTTGGTATGTCTCAAGGCTTTTGCAGCTTCACTATCTGTGTTGATCAAGTTCGTCGCTGCAATGAGCCTTTTGTGACTCGATACCCATCGTTTTGGTGCGGGTGTAAAATCTTCAACTTGATTAACAAGTTTAACTGTAGCTGAGCCAACTCCTTCAGAGGATCGGCTATCTGAGCTATCTATTCCAAAGGAGAGGCCCTCCTTTGGTGATTCGGTCATAATTGGAGCTTTAGTCTTCTTGGAGACTTTGCGAATCTTGTGCATAGCCTCGAGACTAAGGGATCCAGATGAGAGTGCTTCCTCGTACTTGGCTTGGTCAAACTCCACAACAAGAGTTTTGACCATTGTTCCAGCGAGATTGACGTCGGATTACGCCACCACTTCTTCATCGGTGAAGCTAGTCTCCAGCGGAGGCGACATCTTTTGTTTGTGGGAAAATTAAAGAAGAAAATAGAATAAAATTCTGTATTTATCCCTCTAACTAACTTAGAAAAAGAATGAATACAATCTCTCTTTGCAATCTCTCTCTAACTGATTTAGAAAAATAAATTACAACTCTTCTATATCAGTTTCCCGGTTTACAAAAGAGAGAAGGAATCGAGGGAGATCATTCCTTTTGTTTAAACCTGGGTTCTTCTCGGTATCGATAAGAGTTTGATTCTTGTATCCCGTTGACGATCCGATCGTTTCGACTCGTGGAACACGGTCTATTTCTCTTTAATTGACATTGAGGAGAACTTGCGAGGTAAGTTTAAAACTCTTAACGAGTTAATAACTCTTAGCGAGTTTAAAACTCTATGAAAGAGTTAATTTGAAAAAGAAGATTAATCCTTTTTTTATTTAACCAAAATCAGTTTTCAAGCCAAGACCAAGGCTCCAAAGATCCAATCTGAAAGATCCCTCAAAAGCTCTAGCCGAAGATCCAAAGGTGCCGACAATTGCTGACCAACTGATCTCCTTCTCCCTCTCCAATCTCGATCTGCTAGAAGATCCGATTTAAGCTAACTTTTTAGCTATTTATAGGGGATTAAAGGGTGTAACTAACCCCTAAAATCGCTCCTTAGTGGGGTGTAATCCCTCTCAAATCATGGAAAACGGTTTTGGAACTGTTCAGCTCGTGTTTGAGCGAGTCAAACACGAAATCCGCGTTCTAGGAATAAAGTTTTGTGTCTACAACTGAAGACGAAGTGGTGAACCCCCGTGTTTTATTCTTGGAAAGCGGATATGAGTTCCGCGTCTCGTTCTTGGGATGCAAAGATGAACTCGACATCTTAAGTTGAAGAGACCATCAACTTGTAGTCTCTTTTGTTGGAGCGTTACAAAGATTGTCGTCTTGTAATCTTCGTCTTGGCTCTTTAAAATGTGAGAGTCGTCATTTGTAACTCTTGTTGATGATTATGAAGGCCGTCAAATCAGAACTTCCATCGGCTGTTATGAATGTCGTTGAATTGTAATCTTCGTCGTTTTTCATGAAAATCTTTAAATTATACCCTTCTGGAAGTCAACGAATTGTAACTTTTATTATCAGTGCTTGATGGGAATCAACTATCTGCAGTAATTTTTAGACAGCCTACAACCATTCATAGCATGTAGAACTTTATTGAAGTACCTACTAACCGCTTTACCTGATCTTATGAATTCGGTCCTTGTTACTCTATTTTTTTTCATGACCCACTATGCTCATGAACATAGCGAGTTGTTCTTCAACTTGAAGGTGTCTTGTATCCTTTAAATAAGCATTTTTTCGCAAAAAATCCGTAAGTTTGAAAAATTCCTTAGTCCCCATTCTAATATAAGACCTACAACTATCACTATGTTCTTCAAAGATACGCTCGAAGTGGGCGTTTCTAAAAAAAATTCTCATCTTATCCTCTCTTGAAGCATTATAAATTGATTTGCGCTTAGCACACAATCTTAATAAACAAGCTATGATTGTAACCATGGAAGATATAGACGTATTAGCACACATCTTCTTTATTTGTTCTTCATCTACACCATCCATCTATATTAATTACAAAAAAATATAGTTTAAAACTTTTATGCAATAATAGAACATAGCCATGCAAATGGTTGAACTCATGATGGTGATGTTTGCATATAGAATTTTGTAGCTATTACCAAATAATATTATTTATAACACTATAATAACATAAAAACAACTATCCAATGATATATGCTAGAATTATCAAGCATATGAATGATATCTTGTCAATATTTTCTCATCCAACAATTTAATAGACTCATTTTCAGTTACATTCATGCCACAATAGTAGTAAAATCAACAACTAAATAAGAACAGGAATTCAACCGTAGTAGATCGAAAAATCCAAACCCATAACTAGGCCATAATTTTCTTTATAGTCAAGTTCTCAAATGATTGATGATTTTAACATGCTAATTAAGCCACAATAGTAACAAAATCGAGAGCTAAGCAAGATCTGATAATCGACTGAAAAATTAAATGAAACAATTGAAAAATCAATCGAATAATCCCGAATAATCAAGGGGGCTTAGGGGTTTATTTTTATACCTCAACAACTTAGAAGATCAACAGCGAAATCACTGATTTCAGCTAAAAACCACAAATCTCCAAATTAGCCGCAAGAACACCGATGACTGTATGTGGCGGAAGCCCTAGTGGGTCGATCTCACTAGCGAATAGTCGTAATAATCAAGGACGAGAGATCAAGGTCAGGAAAAATAGAGGTAAGGAAATATCAAGGACTAGAGCTCGAGGTAAGGAAAAATCGACCCAAATTAGCCGTAAGAACGACGACAAACTAGAGCGAAGCCCTAGATCTTCGAGCTCGCTAGTGATTGGTGGGAATAATCGATGACGAGAGCTCGAGGTAAGGAAAACTTGAGTGTGAGAATAGGTTTGGGGGCGGGAACGAAGGAGGAAGCCCAAAATATTTTTCGAGTTCTAGTGGCCACGAGAATATAAAGTGGGGGCAGAAATGTGGCTATGGGGTGGGTTTAATATTTTAATAATAGGTTATCAGTTTTTTGGGTGTTTTCAGCTCATTTTGAGTGGAAAACAATTTCTGTAAAATTGTACAGATTTCTGTACTTCACAGAAAATTTTTCTGTAAATTCAATGTTGAACCAAACATAGTTTATGGAAATTGTGAGCAAATTTTTATTTACAAAACTACCACTAACAGAACATTTCCTAAAACTTTTCTATAAAATACCCTAACCAAACACCCCCTAAGAGTCAAAAGAGTACAGCCTTGCCCAGAGATATACCTGCAGAAACAGGATAATAAGTGGGTCTAACTACAATTAACTCTTATGTTTTTATCTCCCATTTTGATAACTACACTAAAACTTGGGTTACATGATTGGCATAATTGTATATTAGTTCCTTAAATCATCCTTAGTTGCCAAATAACCCCTCAAATCTCAGTATATGCTTATTAGTCCCTCAAATCTTCAAATTTCTTGCAAATTTGTCCCTCTGTTATGAATTCTGTCAATTTCTCTAACTCATGTTGGATTATGCCTTGACTCAACATCGAAAACTACTCAAAGGCTCTTGAGTTTTCCACACTGGTTTTCTCTAACTCTAGTTGGGAATATAACCGTTGAAAAAAAAATTTGGATTGGATTTGTTCCTGATTGTAGAGAAAAAAAAGAAGTTGTTGAATTTGGGTTTTAGTTGGAGTGAGTTGCGGGTATGAACACATTATGAAATGGGTTGATAAGGTTTTCAATGATAGGGTTAATTATGAGCGAGGGTAACACAAGAAAACTATCTAATTCTGAAGTTAACAGAAGTTCACTCTCAAATAACGTCACTTAGCAAGAGGGACAAGTTTGCAAGAAATTTAAAGATTTTAGGGACCGATAAGCAAACATTGAGATTTGAAAGACTATTTGGCAATTAAGAATCATTTAAGGGACTAATGTACAATTACCCACTAAAGCAAAAAGGAGCAAAAAATGTTTGGTAAATGACTAAGATTTGGTACCTAGACCATAATAATTGGGCATGTATCTATGGATTGGTATATAATTTTATCCGCACACAACTCTAAATCAGTACTCTGCTCGTGTGGTTTGGTATACTATCTTTTTCTCATAGCTCTATCGATACCATCTTAAACTAGTATAAGTCAACAACATTCAAAAACTTAGAAAATGAAAATTTAATGGATAATTAGGTCACTTGATGCTGTTTTATTCTTTAGATGGATCCAAATCTAACAAAACTCGTCAATTTTTGGCATCTACATTTGTGCACGTATAATTATCCTTTGCCCCTGAGGGTATGTAATGTGGGTAGGTTCTCTTTTTCAGTTGGGTTTGGATTAAAAACAAAGTTTTATCCGAACTAGACTACCGTAATATCTAGCTAATGAGGCATTAACACTAGATTAATTAGATTCTAGATGTGACATATATAAATAATACAGTTTCTTATATCAATCAGTGCTACAGTAGTGTAGAAGCAGTTATCTAATTTGAGTACCAATTTGTTTCAAGAAGTTAACCGTGTTTTATATCTCAAAATCTTCTAAAATAGTAAAAAAAGAAAATCTATGGACAAATATAAAAAAGAAATTCGAGTCGATATGACACTTTCTTAGTAATGATAAGCATAGTTTAACTCTGGAGTAATCCCTAATGTGAATTCTCCGTTTGATCGCCCGTAAATCTACATCAATAAAAGTTTTTCTTCTTCAAAAAGATATTATTATATATTTTCGAATTAGCCTATACGCTAGTTTTACAACTTGTTGAGCATTCATCTAATAACACCGTATTAATATTAGTTGTAAGTTTATTCATGACAATTTCAGCATAGAGTGCTATTATTTATTTAGTTATGCCCTTGGATAGATATTGGGCTCAAGAAAAGTACGTGTTTGCGTCAATGGATCTACAGCGGCATTCATTTGGGCCTTGGACTGCTATTTTAGCATACAGTGGCTTGGTAGGCCCATTAGCTAGGTTATTCATTTATTTGCTTTATCTTTATAAACTGAGACAAAGCTTTTATTGTAAGCGTTGAGAGGGGCAAATAAAAATACATATATATTTCCTACAAAGTAATATCTATCGAGCAACTAATTAATGCCGCTGTACAAATCAGTAATTTTGGGGGTTGTTAGTTAGTTATTTTACAGCGACACGTCTGGTAACATCTCAAATAAGTCTAAACTTACAAGTCCTATTTGAAAAAGGTTAACTCCTCAATTTTGAAAAATTAGCTTATAAACTGTTCCTTTAAATAAATAAGCTAGGTTTTGTTTAGAAAACGACCATTCTATCTATATAAGTTTTAATTAAAGAAAATTTATCATAGAAATGGAAAGTCATAAGAACCCAATTTTATGTTTATAAATGTGCTCATGTTTTTTTAACTCATTAGGGACGACACGCATAATTCTTTTCTAGCTATAATTGTTTGTTGTCCTTGCCTTACGACCTTAGTCTTAGTCAGCGCTTCGGTCACGTCCATAAACAAATTAAAGGAATTAGTTAACTAATAATAAAATAGCAATAACAACGAACCGATGAAAGAGAAAAGAAATTTATCTCGCTTTTCATTTATAATAATTTTCAGAAACAGTTACAGATAAAACATTTTAAAAAAAAAATCATGACAAAACAAACAATAAATACAGCTGAATAATTAAGCAAAATTTAATAAGGTAACGAAAAACTCAGCGTGCATGCGTACTTGACGTACGGCGGGTCCAAGCTAGCTAATCAAGCTAGCTAGCCTTTAACTAACAACCTAGCTAGCTAGGGACAAATTGATTAATTAGCTCCTGACGAAGCCATCGATGAACTTGGCACCAGCGTCCTTGAGCCAGGTGACGTCCCCCAGCCAGTTGCCGATCAAGAAGAGGGACGCCTCATTCTTGTCGATGGGCACGTGCTTCTTGACCCACTCGGCCCTGGGCTTGGGGTCACCGTTGGGCCCCCTGTTATTGTACTCGGCGTAGTAGCAGGTCTCGTGGAAATTGGCCTCGTCCCAGATGGTCCAGCCCTCGGGCCTGATTACGTCCCCGATCTCAGACTCCATGACCACCGTTCTTGCCCTCGCCTTCCACGGCCTCCCCAGGTAGCGTCTTGACGGAAGCCTGTCCGGGAGCAGCTTCTGCTCCGCCGCTATCCGGCATTGTGGATGACCAGCCCGCCGCAGCGCCCTGTCCTCGTTTCCGTCCGCCGGTCACGTGTTGAACTGGTTGTCCATGGGGCGCCGGACCACGATGAGGGAGTTCTGGACTATGCAGGCCCGCTGCCGAACATGAAGTCGATGGTGCCGGAGATGACGCAGTTGCTGAAGAACTGGCGGTTTGCCTTGTAGTAGAGCGTGTCCTGGAACCGTTGATGGCGGCAGTTGAAGAAGGCCGAGTGCGTCGCCCGACCAGCATGCAGGGCCACGCCTGTGGCCGTCTGGCCCCGCGTCGTTCATGAACCCCATGGCCTTCGCCACGAACCCCTTTCCGAACACACCTGTATATATATATACGTACATTCGCAAATAAATAGGAGATACGTTCAGTTGCTGCTGCCTCTGACCATCCCGCAGCAGTTTTTAATTAATTAAGCTTTTGGGTTAAAATTGGTTCCTAGCTAGAGCTAGAATGCAAAATATCGACGGCTTAATTACCGAAAGTGTAGCTCAGGGAAGTGGAGATTCCGCCGCCGTGAGCGACATTATCGTTCCAAGTAACCATCGACTTCCTCGGCCCGTCCCCGTACATGAATATATTCGAAGCTTCCACCTTCACCTTCTCCTTGTAGGTCCCGGCCTTCACGTAAATCACGACCCTACTCGGGTTCTTCTTCGGCACCGAGCTCACCGCCTCCTGGATCGTCTTAAAATTGCCGCTCCCGTCCTGAGCCACCACGATGTCGGGCTTTAGCCCGGCGTTGTTCGCTGACCCCATCAGTTTGCGGTCGGCCGCCGACACCCATTTC